CTTACAGTTTTGGTCTGATTTCAATATAACTTGGCAAACAAGTAGACTACACTAAGATACATAATTCTGTATATTGGATATTGATTTCGATAAACGGTGTTGCCGTGGTTACTAAAAATAGAAATTTCTGTGAAATTGTTTCAAAATGCTACTCCTACTACAGTTTCGGTCTGATTTCAATATAACTTAGCACACAAGTAGACTACACTAAGATACATAATTCTGTTTATTGGTTTTTGATTTCGATGAACGGTGTTGCCGTGGTTACTAAAAATAGAAATTTCTGTAAAATTGTTTCAAAATGCTTCTCCTCCTACAGTTTTGGACTGATTTCAATATAACTTGGCACACAAGTAGACTACACTAAGAAAATTAAGAGACTTTATCAAGGATCATTTCTATTTATTGCTGTTGTGAAGTTTCAATTCCCAACTGCTTAAGTACTTTTCTCTTCCTTTGCTATAAGTACAAACCAGTAGAGCTTCAGTCTCGACAGAGACTTCTGGTGATTACCAAAGATTGACCATATGTCCATTCAAAGCTTTTGATATGCATGTTCAGCATATGTACATCGGTTACCAAATTAGAAGTGCATGTGTTTGCATGTGTCTAGCAAGGAGGGGCAGGAATGGGATGTGATGTTTACTTTGTATGTTGATCATTGTATAAATATGGACATGCAGAAACATCCATTTTATTATTGGAGAGAAAGAAAAAGAGAGAAAATTTTGTTTTTGCTTGTCTGCAATGCACATGATTCATACAGCAAAACCATTTAGTACGAACACAGACATATGCGAATTTACAGATATAGCGAAGTCATCTTGGATCTCGAGCTATATAAATTTAATGAATTTAATGAATTTCTTATACAATTATAACGAATTACGGATATTAGCGAAGTAATTTGACACACACAGGTCCCTTGAATTCTTTAAAAGTTTTGCTATATGGAACAGTATGGAATCATAATTGTCAATAAACCTATTTACACCTGCCAGTACAAATGAATAGTTTTTTTTCTAGATTTGTTGCATTTGTCTTTCAAACTGCAAAAATACACTGTTCAATAAAATTATCCCCCCCCCCCCTCCAACAACAACCCAGCCCCCGCTAGCATTTACAACATCTATACTTTAAATATTAAGCTCATTTTGATATGTGGGTTGATCCAAAAGTTCCTGGAATTTCTTTCTAAAATTTCATCATGCATACATGCCAACTTTCCCGATTTAGGCGGGATTCTCCTGATTTTACCCTTTTATCCCGCCTTCCCGATCGGGAGAGAAAAATTGACCTAATTTCCCAATTTGTAAAAATTCACCCAAAATTTCCGATTTTATAAGTTTCCCTATACCGCTAATTTTGTCAATTGGGATAACAATATCAGACTTGTTTATTCAATGCACACAGATAAGTTTCATTGTTTATTTAGGTGTTAACATGGTTAATTAGCCACAGGAAATCACTTCACGCTTGAACGCACGGAGTCGTCCAGGTGTAGGTAGCTTATAGCATGGGGCAATTAATTAGGGGATTATCTTTTCAGTTTTAAGGGGTATGCAAGGTGAAACACATAGATTAAAGGGATAATTGTTTGTCATTTTATTGAAAACATAAATTAAAGACAACTAAATAATAACCAAACCATAAAATCGGAATCCAAGGAGATCGTTATTTGAAAACGAAAGTAGAAAACTACAAAGCATAGCTGCTGACTTTATCTACCTATAATGAAAAAATATTGTAAAGTTTGCCAGTTAAAATAATATGAAAAAAATCCTGGTGAAACAATAAAGTATATGTCAATTAGAATTTCTTTTCCCTCCCTTCTCCCAAAAGTAATTATAATATTTTATGCATGACTAAGAAATACCCACATAGCACCATCAAGCCTGCCAAAGTTCAAGACTGTAAAAAAATCAATTTCTTTGGGATAGGTGGTATCTTTATGTTAGAAAATTGATGATTTAATTCTTCAAAACCGATGATTTATTTCTTTGAATAAAAAATAAATGCATTGCAATTTCTCAAAATTTCTTTAAATTTAAAATCTGATTAGAATTTCTAATTAATTAAAATATAAAAATCTCATAAATGTTCCCAGAAACAGTACTTTACAGTATCAAAAGTTGTACAATTTTCAATTTTTTACCAAATTATGTGTCCTAGCTGGTAAAAAAAGTTTACATATGTAACTAATTATCCCTTCTTTAGGGAGAGAGGCACCTATTTGAGCAAAAATATTTCCAATTTGGAAAGAAAAACCTTATTTTTGTGTTATTTTTATCCTTTAGTAGTATTAGTAAGTGATATTAATTATATTATAAATTAAAAAAAAGGATCATGTCATAATCATTTAATTTCACGACAAAATGTCACGAATTTAAAGCTATGAAAAATGTCGTCACGCGCAAAATCCCCCATGGGAATTTTCAAAAGTTGGCATGTATGATCATGACTAGATAAAAGCATTGACAACAGCTGTGTATATTACCAGAGGTGATCATTGTAGTTCAGCTATTCTTTTTTTTTACAAAATGTTAAAGATTTGTTAGATTTCAACATCAATAAATGGTTGAACATTTACGCAGAATCAAGAAGATTTATCCATGATTTTACCGAAGCTGAATATTAAGCAATTAATGTCTCAGAGACACAGAGGGGCTTGGGATTCTTCTACAAACACATGTCTACAGAAGCAAATTATATAATCAAAACAGGAGTATGTAAAGCGTGAATTTCTATCGACGTTGAGATACACTGAAAATCCGTAGCGCTTCTTTTTCACTTTATAAGAACAAAATTGAAAGATTCTATTCCAAAGACACTGCTCCGTGCTCACATTTAATATTGGAGTTGTTTTAGATTATTTATAGTTGCTTCAAATATTGTACATATGCTTTGACATTTGCATGTACAGTGTGTACATAAAACATGTTGATAATATCGAGTGGTTAAATAATAATTGTGCACCAGCTTTTACTGCTGTCTAAAACTATTTACACGTATATCGTATATTTACATGTATATTGCATGAAAAAAAAATTTCAATGCTTTATCAACACGATAGCACCTAGGTCTCTTTGAACAATGGTTTAAGTCGCAAAGCAAATTTTGTTAATGTGAAGTTCAGCATAAAATAAAAGATCATACATCATTTTTAATATTTCTTTAATAAATCTATAAAAAAAATTGAAAATGAGTTTCTAAAGAACAATTCAATTTGCCCTTTATTTTCAACTGTAGTACGCAGTCCATAATGCATTGTGACTCATTCCATAGTGGGTAAAGTAGACAGATAGCTAATTAACATACAAATTTATGCTGACTTCAGAAAATTTAGTGGTCTTGACCTGTTAAAATGAGTCTCAATTTTTAGCTCTACTGGTCAGAGACCAGAAGAGCTTATGCGATAGTAATGCGTCCAGCATCCAGTTGTCTGTCTGTCTGTAAACAATTTTTCAAAATGCTACTCCTACGGTTTTGGTCTGATTTCAATATAACTTGGCACACAGATAGACTACACTAAGATACATAATTCTGTATATCTATTTTTGATTTCGATGAACGGTGTTGGTGTTGTTACTAAAAATAGAAATTTCGGTGAAATTCTTTCAACATGCTACTCCTCCTACAGTTTTGGTCTGATTTCAATACAACTTGGCACACAAGTAGACTACACTAAGGTACATAATTCTGTTTACTGTATACTGGGAAATTTTTTCCCCCGTTTTATTCTCATTTTGGCGAATTTAAAACGGAACGAATTCAAAGAATACAGTATAATTACTTAAACAAAACTAAAACTGTGTGAATTTAAAACGGGACAAAATTGTTTGCAAGTGTGAAAGTGCAAAAATAATACGGGGCAAAAATAACCCTGTATACAGTATTGGTTTTTGATTTTGATAAACGGTGTTGGCATTATTTTTAAAAATAAGAATTTCTGAGGAATTCTTTCAAAACGCTACACCTCCTACAGTTTTGATCTGATTTCAGTATAACTTGGCACACAAATAGACTACATTAAGATGCATAAAATAGTGCATCGGTTTTTGATTTCGATGAATGGTGTTGGCGTTGTTACAAAATAGAAATTTCGGTGAAATTCTTTCAAAATCCTACTCCTCCTACAGTTTTGGTCCGATTTCAATATAACTTGGCACACAAGTAGACTACACTAAGGTATATAATTCTCGATATCAGTTTTTGATTTTGATAAACCGTGTTACCATGGTTACAAAAATAGAAATTTCTGTGAAATTCTTTCCAAAATGCTACGTCTCCTACAGTTCTGGTTTGATTTCAATATAACTTGGCACACAAGTAGACTACACTAAGATACATGATTCTATGTATAAGTTTTTTATTTCGATGAACAGTGTTGGCATTGTCGCTTAAAATATAAATTTCTGGGAAATTCTTTTAAAATGCTACTCCAGTCCTACAGTTTTGGTCTGATTTCAATATAACTTGGCACACAAATAGACTACACTAAGGTACACAATTCTCTTTATCAGTTTTTGACTTCGATGAACATTATTGCCTTGCATGGTTACTAAAAATAGAAATTTCTGTTGAATACTCTCAAATTGCTACTCCAAATACAGTTTTAGTCTGATTATAATATAATGTGGCATGCAAGGATCATTAATCTATTAACTGCTGTTGTAAAGTTTCAATTCCCAACTGCTTAAGTACTTTTCTCTTCCTTTGCTATTAGTACAACCCAGTAGAGCTTCAATCTTGACAGAGACTTCTGATTTTAATTTGTAATTTTGAAATACTTTTATGGCGCAAGACCTTTCTGAGAACTTCTAAGAACCTTGAAGCAAATTTAGATGTATGAAATGAAAATTGTTAAGTGAAAAGATTTTGTTTTTGAGAAAAAAATTTCCAGAATCCTTTTGCATATTATGTTCAAAGCACAACAATCATGTTCCAAAACAGAAGTTTTTTTTATAGTTTTAAATGGTTTATTTCTCTTTTTCTTATAGGAGGAGCCTACAATGTGGTCAAAAAAGCAATAGTTCCCAGAACTGGGTGCTTGTGACAGAAGGTTTAGAAGTAGGAAGAACTTACATAATCACAGTTACAGCAGAGGATAACTCAAAGAAAAGCTACCAGTGAAGAAATTAAAGTCATTTTTTCAAGCATCAGTGAGTAATAACTATGTAGAAGCTCATTCATGTTAATTATTACTTTTTTTCTCGTTCTCAGATTCACCACTCATAAAAGATGAAGAAAATAACTAGAACAACAAATTACCGTAATTTTCGGGTCATAGGTCGATGGGGTATATAGGTCGAAAGGCTCATTTTCAGCCTTAATTTTTGAAAAATTCTAAGATAGGACGAACTTACTATATAGGACGAGGCTTTGTTTCCCGTTTTCTAAAGATTCTTACGCAGATACAACGTATCAGAACAGGTAAACCTCTAGAATTACCGGGGTTATTCCGTGACATGAACGTATCAAGAAAACAAACAGGTATTTTAATGAGTACAGCATTTAAATGAAGTTTTTAAAAAAAATGTAGTTAAAACTTCGTTGAATTGTGTTACTACTTATTTTTCTCCAACTTGCCTGTTCAATGCCTCCGTAGTTTCATACTGTTGTTAAACCAGAGGCATAAATAACACGTAAATACGTTCTTATTTTACAGCTATAATTCGGGAAATACCCGAGAACAAAGAATAATCAGTCTGATTTCAGAACAACTTGGACACATTCCTAATATATTTTATTCAGACATCATTTACCGGTGGACCACAATATCGCTTTCATGTCGCCATTTTCAGTTTCGTTCTTCCAGGGGTCGCCAAAACCCCGCAAACGACCATTGAACTGACATATAAAACAACAGTAAAGAATTGAAATAACATCACCACGCGATAAGTTTAATTATATATTTAATTGAGAGTACCGGTACATTGCAACAATTTGACCGTCATTATAATTTCATGGCTTTGTTTGTTCAATGATGTGTAACACTAATACCCTATAACGGCACGTGGATTTGCTAATCATGCCCTGCGGGTATTAAACCAACACAGGTGTTATAACCTTTGCGTGTACACACAGTGTAAATCCTTTTATCTGTGAGACAATTAAAATTCTGTTAGAAGCCAATCTTTGAATAGCGCTAATTCGTTTGACCGGTATTATAATTAAATAAAATAAAAAAATATATAGTAATGACTATCAGTTTATTTGGTAAATAAATTTCAGGAATTGACTGGCAAATATTTATTTCACTCATTTTACACTTAAATAAATATAAGACAGTCACAATAAATAAAATTAATACTATTTCAATTTATCTACTAATAAATGGTAAAACCTTGAAATTTTTTCCGTATTTGAAATTTTGATATGGTTGGGGTTTTACTTTTAGTAAACGGTAGCGACTGCCTAACTTCACAAGATGGCTACCGCATGATGGCAATGGATAACACGCTGAGGAATTATTTTTTTTGATGAAGCACAGTTTTTTCCTTTGTCATCAACGGATATGTAATGGAATTTATTTTGTAAGAAAGCTATAGAATAAATATTTTATTGTTTACCGGGGCATTAATTTTTCTGCGTAAAATAATGAAAAAAGTTATGAAAGTGGCACAGATTTGCTTTGAAATTGACGTAAATTTTATTGATTTTGGGGCATTTTTCGTAAACTTGAGCCTTAGAAAGGTCGAAATCGTATATTGGTCGACCTCAGCGGCTCTGAGAAAAAAAGTACCGACCTATAATCCGAAAATTACGGTAGAACATAAAAGGCCTTTCCCAATCAAAACAAAAATAAATAAACAATTAACAATGAAGAAGCTTTTCTTGATAATGATGAAAATATAATGAATATGTTGGTTGACAGTACTGTAGATTCCTAAATATATGCGTGGAATTAATTATCGCGTAATTTCGCGAGAAGCATCACACAAGTAAAAAACTTACTCGCCTTTATTTTTATGGTGCTGAAATCTATGTTAAATCTCTTGACCAACTGTCCATTTGCGAATTTTTATTCTCGCGATTTGACCTTGAAGAGCCCATTCACAATAATAAGTACTCATGAAAAATAAGGAATCTACAGTATATAGGAAAAATATTTTAAAATCTTCTCAAGAACCACAGGGCCAGGAAAGATGAAACTCATGTGGAAGCATCCTTTGGTAACATAGATTCAAGTTTGTTCAAATCATGATCCCCGGGCATAGGGTGGGGCCACAGTGGGGTATCAAAGTTTAAGATAGGAGTATGTAGGAAAAATCTTTAAAAATCTTCTCAGAAAGGAATACCGTGATTGGTCATAGTTATACGGAAGCATCCTCAGGTAGTGTAGATTCAAGTTTCTATCATGTTTTCCATTTATTGTGTTTTGCGTTTATTGTGTAGATCGTTTATCAGGTTCTATTGTGTTTTGCGTCTATCGTGTATCTTCGGAAACCCTCGCTTTTAATCGTTACTTTAGGAAGAAACTACCGAGGTATTCTGAGTTTCTTTTTCGTTTTGTCAACTAAAATAAGATTACTTTAAGATTACTTTAAAGAGAAAAGAAAGTTTTATCCCTTAGTTTTTCAGGAAAGGAATAAATAAATAATATAATTGATAAATAAATAAATTTATTAATGATAAAATAAATAAAGAAAATAATTATTTCATGGTCAAGCAGAGAGTTATTATCAAAATTTAAAATCTATTTTCGGAAATGAAATAATTGATCCCTTTTTTTAATTTATTGAATTGTATGATTTTTTTCGTAAAAATTATTCATTTTTTCTTGATTAATCGTCTGATAATATTAATGTACTTTTGCCTCTGATCTGCACAATTATTTAAAATATTAATATTACAAAAATGATAAAACATAAGACATTGATCCATTTAACTTTAACACCAATTTTAATTTTGTCTGTATATGCTCAGTTTTTATGCCCCGCCATGAATGTGGCCGGGGCATATAGTGTTTGTCATGTCTGTCTTCCATCCTTACGTCCTTCTGTCCTTCCGTCCGTCCTTCCTTCACACTTTGCGTTTAGCTCTGTTCAAAGCTAAGTTTCAAAGAAACTCAGTTTCTTTGAAATATCTTGGATAATCCAAGATATTTTCATCAAACTTCATATGCTGATTGATATTGATGAGAGCTATTCAACTGCATCATTATTTTTAGACCTTGACCTTTCCTGTGACCTTGACCTCACTTTTCTTAAATTTGAGTTTAGCTCAGTATTAAACATACAATTCAAGATGGTGTTATCAAACTTCACATGTTGATACAAACTTGCACGAATGATGCATCTAGGGATGAACACTACCAAACTTACTTTGGATGCTGGATCTGACCTACATTTTCCAGATGAGTGACCAGGTTAAAGTTTTTGGAATAGGTTTATTCCTAAGGAACTATAAGCCCTACTTGGACCAAACTTGCATGGATGATGCATCTGAGGATGGACACTACCAGACTTGCTTCTGATGCTGGATCTGACCTACATTTTCCAGATGAGTGACCAGGTTAAAGTTTTTGGAGCAGGTCCATTTCCAAGGAACTATAAGCCCTACCCAAACCAAATTTGCATGGATGATGCATCTAGGGATGAACACTACCAGACTTGCTTATAGGATGCTCAGGATCTGACCTACATTTTTCAGATGATTGACCAGTTTAAAGTTTTTGGAGCAGGTCCATTCCTAAGGCTTCGGATGCTGGATGCTGGATCTGACCTACATTTTCATTCCTAAGGAACTCTAAGCCCTACTTGGACCAAACTTGCATGGATGATGCATCTAGAGATTGACACTACCAGATTTGCTTCTGATGCTGGATCTGACCTACATTTTCATTCTCAAGTAACTATAAGCTTACCTGAACCAAACTTGCATGGATGATGCATCTAGGGATGGACACTACCAGACTTGCTTCTGATGCTGGATCTGACCTATATTTTAATTCCCTAATAACTATAAGCCCTGCCTGAACCAAACTTGCATGGATGATGCATCTAGAGATGGACACTACCAGACATGCTGCGGATGCTGGATCTGACCTACATTTTTATTCCCTACTAACTATAAGCCCTACCTGAACCAAACTTGCATGGATGATGCATCTAGGGATGGACACTACCAGACTTGCTTCGGATGCTGGATCTGACCTATATTTTCCAAACAAGAGACCGGGTTAAAGTTTTGGGAACAGATCAATCCCAATGAATTTGAAGTTCTTGATATCCACAGTATTACAAAGTTATGAATATTTGTTCACACTGTACATGTTTTTCAGGCTACATGTGTAGAAATGTGTATATGCCATGTAAGGGGTTAAATACAACTTTCAAGAATATTGTTGTTGGGATAAAAACTAAATATTAAGAAAATATGATGTGAGATTTGCATTTAACTTACACGGATAACATTCGTCGAGGTGAGCTTCATAATCTTTGATTACCTATGTTTTAATAAAGACACCATTTCTAGATATTTTAATCAAACTTCATATGTTGATACATACTGATGAGAGATATGCAACTGCATCAACATTTTTGACCTTGACCTTTCCTTTGACCTTGACCTCACTTTTCCTAAAGCAGTGTCAAACTTCATATGCTTATATATACTGATGTAAGCAATTTAACTGCATCGTCAGTTTTGATCTTGACTTTTATTTGACCTTGACCTCACTTTTATCAACTTGTGTACAAGTCAGTCTTTAATTAAAGAAATCATTTATTGATATTTCTAACTTCCTATGTTGATACATATTGATGAGAGATATGCAACTGCGTCAACATTTTTGACCTTGACCTTTGCTTTAACATTGACCTCACTTTTCCTAAATTAGTGTCAAAGGTCATAAGCAGATAGATATTAGGTACTTTAATGAAATTAGTGTCAAACTTCATATGCTGATACATACTAATGTAAGCAATTCAGCTGCATCACTATTCAAGATATTCTGATCAAATTTTATACACATACAAATTTTCATGTTGCTTCACTAATCTTGGGACCTTAAAACATATTTATGAAAAAGTAGGTCACTGTGACCTACTTTTTGAATTTTGCCGACTTTTGTTTTCAAATTGTTTAAAATGCATAATTTGATTACCTTCAGACCTATGATCATCAAACTTGGTCAGTAGATGCATCTTGGGTCTTC